TGAATAGCTAATGAACACAGCGCATATCAGTATTCATTAGATGATTGGCTGTCACGCACTGTTAATGTAGTTAAATTCATCAGTGTCTGACAGACACGGCCACTGAGAGGATACAGAGGTCCAGATCCAGCCCCTTCACATCAATTCGCCTTTAAATACATTCTGTTTTGAAAGAGAAAATGAAGAAGCGCCCATTAGCTGGTATTTTGGAGAGTAATGTGAATGACAAAACACTTCATATGACACTTATAGCTGCTAAATGTCCTGCTGTTCCATTACAATCTATAATAACTTTGAGATTACGCTTGAAAGTAATCTCATTAAAGTCATGACACTTTGTGAGATGAGCGAGAGGGGACTTGCTGAGGGTTTTCTGACTTTAAAAGCACATCTCCATGCTGTGAGCTGATGACTTGAACCCAACGCTTAACTTGACTGTGATTATGGCTGTTGGCTACAACCGTTTACTTCACAGTCGCTAGCAAATCCTCACGCTTTTATTTAAGTGTCTTAATTCATAATTTTGTATTTCCTCATGTGCCTCTTAAAAAGCTTAAATCTTGCAAATTAGATAGTTATGGTTTTAAATTAAGTCTGTATTATTAAAGGTTTAGTTCACCCAAAAATGAAAATTCTGTCATTAATGACTCACCCTCATGTCGTTCCACACCACTAAGACCTTCGTTCATCTTCAGAACACAAATTAAGATACTGTATGTTCGATCAAATCCAATGGCTCAGAGAGGGCTCCATTGACAGCAACGTCACCCAAACTTTCAAGATCCATAAAGGTACTAAAGACGTCGTTAAAACAGTCGACATGACTACAGTGGTTCTACAATAATTTTATGAAGCAATGAGAATACTTTTTGTGCGCAAAAACAAAACAAAAATAATAACTTTATTCAGCAATCTCTTCCCTGTCATTATCCTTACGCGGTTAACGTAGTAAAAGGCTTCTGTGTTCTACATCCAAACGCCGGCTCATTATTGGCCAAAGCTGCATATGTGAGCAGCGCGACACATGCGTGTGATGCTGATGCAGGAGCCGTCCAATAATGAGCCGGCGTTCTGACGTAGAACCTGGAAGCTCTGGACGTAAACAACGTATGAGAATGACACAGAAGAGAAGAGGTTGTTGAATACAGTTGTTATTTTTGTTTTGTTTTTTGCACACAAAAAGTATTCTCGTCGCTTCATAAAATTATTGTAGAACCACTGAAGTCACGTCGACTGTTTTAACGACGTCTTTAGTACCTTGATCTTGAAAGTTTGGGTGGCGTTGCTGTCAATGGAGGCCTCTCTGAGCCATCGGATTTGATCAAAAATATCTTAATTTGTCTTAGGGGTGTGGAACGACATGAGGGTGAGTCATTAATGACAGAATTTTTGGGTGAACTAACGCTTTAATAACTGTACTGTGCAGGTGAGCTAGCATATTAGCATCCTATAGCACCACGTGTCCAGCTTCAATTCATATTGTTATCTGAAAAAGTATGTCTTACGCTGCATTTCATCAATTAGATTTATGATCTTGATACCTCCATCCATGAAGGCGTTCTGCTGATTATAAGAATATGGCTTATGAAGAAACAAAAGGGCAATGCTAGCATTTGTTTTGCATATGTGTGCTATTATAAAAAAAGAAAAGATACTTTAAATAGTCTTGTTAAACAGGTTTTTATTATCATTTAATGTAATAACTTTGCATTAGCATTTGTTTTTCCAGTAACTGAACTGAAGGAATTATGGGAAATGAAGTCTGCCACGAACAATATGGTTGCTAAACCCTCTATGGTACTACTAAAAGACAGAGAAACTGAAGCAGTGGATCAGTGTTTCTGTGAGGAGATGGTCGCTCATGCCAAACTTAATCAAATCTGTATTTTGAGGCATCTAAATAGGTCAACTTTCCTTCAGCTGAAGATCATTTTTAGATTTTTCTTGGGTTATTCTTGGCTACACCTGAGATGATGGGCAGATGCTCATGTTTAATCTGAGAGACTCATCAGGCTTGTCTGCAATTATGTGACACTTCACTAATCGGGTCTGTTAAGATTCAAGTAATTTATAAGTTAATTAAAATCACCAGAATCAGCAGCAGCAAGCCTTCATTATCAGTATATGTGAACATTTGCATTTAGCAGGTTTCAGTGATCAGATGGCTGCATCAATAGTGACCTTCCCCTTTAGAAAGCATTTCCATTCTAAGTGCAACCTCAAGTGTAAAAGCAGATCAAACACAACCCAGCCTCCATATCAAACTCTTTCCCATGTGACAGTTCCATAAAACCCTTATGCGTTGATGTGAGTAGGTGGTGTATTGGCATAAATTTGTGCACCGCTGATGATATGCAGTTATATAATGGCCTCTGGCCTATATGCAGCACAATTGAACACCTGCCTGCAGGAGATGCACTGGGTGAATTTTAGTAGGCTGAACACACACAGTTTCACTTGCTGCTCAACACTGACTGACCCCAGCACTGATTCCTGCTCGTGGATGGAGGTCTCACACCCAGAAAATCTCACCTCAGAGAATTTGTTCCACAAGTCATCTCTCGCTGCATTCCCGTACATGTGCGTCATCAAGTAATCCTGTAAACAGACAGAGAAAGGAGATCATTATTGGAAGAGAAATAAATTGGACTTGTACAGGAACAGTGAACTTGGGGAACCAAATAAGCCCAAACAATAACATTACTAATCCTCTCAGTTCAAACTGAATATATGCAAATTAGCAGCAGATGTTTGGGTGTGATTGGCTGTCAACTCAAGGAGGCCCATAAGGAGGCCAATTAGAGGCTGATTATGTTGTTCGAGTCGATGCTGCATCAGCGTGTCATGAGTAACATACAAATCAGCAATATGATTTTACAGGAGTTTCTTTCAAGACATAAAAGATGGTCAAATTGTTCACATTAAAATAAAGTTTTGAAAAATTAACAGGAGAAAACATTAGATTTATTCCATGAGTAAAAACGTAAATACTCTTGGAAAAAAAGTACTGTAATAGTACTATATATATAATAATTAAATTCATACACCATATAGTAGTTGTATTGACATGTCACTCCAAGTTACTTCCCATGTACCATTTATCTGCTATTACCATAGTACATCAGTAAAAATCATGGAAATATTTGGTAAACATGTACTTTTTAATTGAACATTTATTAATAAGTAACAAGTATTTATAAATATAGAATTATAAGTGAGTTTTGCAAAGAAAGGAAATACCTCAGACTTAGCAAAGTCCATAACAAAAGTGCCTCGACATCAAACACAGACAAATGTACATAGAAAAGTGGATGTAATATGTGTATTGTGGTGTATTATTGAAGCTAAGACACCGGTGTGTGTTCATTTCACTGCTAACAGACTTTAATCTGTTAAACGGCAAACGCTACATTATCAGTGTGTCTGTTTGGCCCTGCAGTCTCAGTGATACAGGTGGTGGGTGACATGAAGAAGGAGTCTGATCCTGCAGAGCACATTTACATTAATCTGATAAGAACAACTGGTGGGAAGCCTTTTCCATGCTGTATACGAGATTCCTCGATAACTCTTGAGTGACCGTGAGCAATAAACCCGTCAACTGTAATCCGCTTCCTGTTGCTGGAGTCGAGAGAACAAGCTGACAAAAAACTGCATGTCCTCTGCATGTGACATACAACGGATTGGTTTCTAACTTACTTTATACTGAGTTTTAAATGGATAATTATCTAAAATGTTTCTTCTGTAGAATGCAAATGGAGATATTTTGCAGAATGTCCAGGCTGCTCTTTTCAACACACCAAAAGCATACAATATCAAATCAGTGGCTGTCAACTTCACAAAGACAAAAAAGTATCATAAAAGCATTCTACATTAATATATTTAAATTCTTCTGAGGTCATGAGCTATCTTTGTGTGATAAGCAGACCAATAAGGTCAGTTTTTCACCGTTTTAAATGATGATACCAGCACTCAACACCATTAAATGAGGCAAGACTGCAGACAAACTTCACTGGCTCTTGTGTTTATTGTTGCAGCAGGTTAGAATGTGCAAAAGCTTCACTGACATCTTAGAGAGGGGAAGATTTTAAGTGAATAACTAAAGACATGAGTGTGACCAGACCATGGCCGTGTTTTCATTTTCATTTAAAGCGAGACCCAGTCCAGCTGGCCTCCATCTCTCTACATGATCTGCTGAGCTCTCTGAGAGTCTGGGATTTGAGTCTGGAGCAGAACCAGATTCATATTACCATCCTGATGAATCTGTTTTAAACCAGAGCAATTCCTCTTCCTCTCTCTCTCCTCCATCAGTAGAGTTATTGCCCTGAAGCGAAGTGACCATGTGGTCCAATCTCACCTCTGATAGGGTCGTCACAGTGTGTTGTCATTATTTTGACACTGATGTGTTCTGCTGACTGCCACAGCAAGAGGAGACACAGTATATATGTATATATATATATATATATATATATATATATATACAGGTGCATCTCAATCAATTAGAATGTCGTGGAAAAGTTCATTTATTTC